TGTGTGTGTGTGTGTGTGTATTTGTATGTGTGTGTGTGTGTGTTTGTGTGTGCGTGTATTTGTGTGTTTTTTTTCTTGAAATGTTTTGATGTTATGTGCTATTTGCTGTGTGGTTGGCCGTTTCTCCGGTGTGGTTTAGTCCTTCTCTCCTTCCAAACATCTCTCATCCTTATGTCTCCTCTTTTCTCTTTCTATATTACTCAATAGATCTCGTAACACTTTTAATTTTCTGCCCTTATATAACCTAATTGTGTTGCAAATGCTGTAAAACTCTTTCTTAAACTAAACCTAAAAGTGCTAATGTGAAATATATTATTGTGTTCTTGTTTGTGACTGGTGGTAACCAAGTAGTTCTAGTGCTGGTGCTTTGATGCGGTGATGGTAGCGCTTTTGGTGGTTGCCTAGTTGTGGTCGCTATTGTTGTCGATGTTGTTGCTGTTGCTGTTGTCGTTGTTGTTGCGGTGGTGGTGGCTTTCGCAGTGGTTGTTGTTTATGTGTCTGAGGTAGTGGCTGCTTTGGTGGTGGTAGTTGTTTTGATGATGAGAACTGAAATGCTTGCTGTGCTTTTCATTGTATACTCAATAAATTGTGAGGTGTATTGACCAAATGAGGTACTTCTCGGGTTTTAGCCTTATGGAAATTGATACATCAACGTTATAGGTGGAGTTTGTACAATGTGTAAGTTTGGAATAATAAAAGACACGGTAGACTTGGACAAAATGGCATCAACTGAAAAATCAATAAATCTGACCCCAGTGTCGATTTTCAGCCGATATCTCCGTTGTTGGAATGCAAGAAGTAAGTGGGTGGGTGGTTGGGTGGTTGGAGGGCGCCATTGGTTGGTCCTACTTCTTTTTCTTTACTTTCCCCTCTGTTGTTTCTGTCTGTCTGTCTGTCTGTCTTACTTTTCTCCAGCACTAAATGACCATTATTGTGTCGATGCGCTTATCTTTACTCAAACAAACAAACAAGCATGCCAATACCCCCCGGGGCCGCGCCACTGACTAAAGTGTCTTTAGGCCATTCCCAAAGGGGGGGGGGGACATTTTTTTCGTTCAAGCATAGTAGAATTGTAAATGGGCTGACTCATGTCACGCTCATAACTGCTTGATCTACAACAGGGAACTGCTGCTTTTTCTTTCCTGATCCTTACTATTGTCATTTTCCTCTACTTCTTTTGTATGTTTGTCACTCTCTTGTGACCTGCTATTTTGGGGTGCCTTGATAGTCGAAGCAGACCTTGTGCTGTTGAAGCTAGAGAGGTGAGCAGTCTAAGTCTGATTCCCTGTAAAGACTTCTTTGTTGACACCCACCCCTTGGCGCTCATATGACCTTATGCAGTTGCGAGCACCGTAAAACCCTCTACTAATAAAAAACAAACAAACAAAGAAATGAGAAGTAACTCATTTTGTCAGCACACCTCACATATTGATGTTGTATATAGCTTGTCTCTTTTCCAGATTGCGTATGACTATATCTTTTAAGAGGTGCCCATTGGCACGATCAGTTCAGTTCAGTTTGGTTGGGTTTGCTCACCAGATTGAGGGCGCAAAGTGGCTATCGTGGCACAAACCGATTGCCCGACTCGTCTCCTAAAAAACAAACTGTTTGTTTTCAGGCGATGAGTGGGGCGATCGATTTGTCGCTCCCCAATGGGCCTTCTGTATTTCACAAAGCAGTCAATGTAATCCTGAATTTACCAGCTGGGTGGAAGCAGTCCATTTCCTGTACAATCTTAGTTGTATAGATGGGGGATATAGAACATTTAAATTTGATATTGACAATAAATAGCATTTATGCTGCGCATTTCTATTTTCTAATAAATGCTCAATGCGTCTTACATTCGTAAAGAAGTCACACCTTGAAAATTAACGGACATGTGTGTACATAAAACATAGTATTATGTATAATGTATATGTAAAAAAAAATTTCAATGAGCATTTTTTCTGTTATTATTCTGACTTTTTATCCAAATGGACTCTGGTATTCTTGTGTGTGCAAACACTAATAAGGGTGATGGGCACAGCACAGTGGCTTGGCTTTTCTTTTCTCTTGCGTGGTCATGTTGCTCACCTGTGCTATGATTTTGTAGGTATTTGGATAGCTGGATGCAAGACTCTGACTAAATGTGGGTGGTTGGCGGGTGTTCGGGTGTGTTTTGCTTCTTCTTTCCTATAAAAAGTCTATCGTCTCCATCTCCCCTCCTTCTTTTTTGTGTTTTGTTACTCTCTTGCAACACTTCTAATCTTCGGCACTTACATGACCTTATTGTGTTGCAAGTGCCGTAAAACTTACTAAAACAAAAGACAAAAAGTCATTACATTGTAAAATGGAGTTTGTTGGAGTCTTGCACCCAACCATGGATTTGTTGGGAAATGATGAGGCTCTATGCCTTGCTTGTGAGAAGTGGAAGTTTGAATCGTTGGGTGACCTGAAGTTGGTTGTAAAAATTTTGCAAGTCTGTTCCTGCTTTATGAAGTAAATTGTGATAATGGTATCTGTTTCCCTTTATAGTTAGTCAGCATATATTCATAACATGTCATTTTCTTGACAATTTCCAGATTTCTGCTTAATGAACAATTAGTCAACATACATAATATATAATTTCGTCAGTGTCAAAATGAAAGAGATATATATATAACTTGCTGTCAACAGTGTCAGCATTGTGGGGGAAGAGAAAGAATGTGAAGAAATTTCGGTGGCCCTGTATGGGGTTGACTCTTGGGCAAATGAATCACTGGACTAGCGTCTGGTGCAGAGGTTAGGCACTTTGTCCTGGCAGGCAGAAGACCCAAGTTTGATTTCCATTCCCATGGGAGAGGGGGCATTTTTATCGACTCGGCCAAAATCATCTAAATTGTATTGATGAGGGCGTATAACACCTGCTTTGAAAAACCGAAAGGAACAACGAAAATACAGCATATGAATCAGTGGTCGTTTTATGAAGTAGGTCCCTCTACCACCTTCAAAAAAGAAGCAGCAGAAGAAGAAGAAGTACGAGAAGTAGAAGAAAAAGAAGAAGGAGGGGGAGGAGGAGGGCTTATGATTTATTTTAGCTAGTCTGTGTAATCAATCACCACGCATGCCATCAGTGGAAGGAACAAGTTTCCCTTTCTGTCGTTCCAGACGCGGCCTACTCCCTGTTCAACAAGAAATCCCAGCTCTTCTCCCTCAGCAGCAACAACGCCCTTCTGCAGTTCATTCTGGAGGTAGGTGTCTTGTATGTGTCATGTGTCTTGTTCTTTGTTTGTATGTGTCTTGTGTCTTGTTGTATGTGTCATGTGTCTTGTTCTTTGTTTGTATGTGTCATGTGTCTTGTGTCTTGTTCTTTGTTTGTATGTGTCATGTGTCTTGTTCTTTGTTTGTATGTGTCATGTGTCTTGTTCCTTGTTTGTACGTGTCATGTGTCTTGTTCTTTGTATGTATCATGTGTCTTGTTCTTTGTTTGTGTGTGTCATGTGTCTTGTTCTTTGTTTGTATGTGTCATGTGTCTTGTTCCTTGTTTGTACGTGTCATGTGTCTTGTTCTTTGTTTGTATGTGTCATGTGTCTTGTTCTTTGTTTGTATGTGTCATGTGTCTTGTTCTTTGTTTGTATGTGTCATGTGTCTTGTTCTTTCTTTGTATGTGTCTTGTTCTTTGTTTGTATGTGTCATGTGTCTTGTTCTTTGTTTGTATGTGTCATGTGTCTTGTTCTTTCTTTGTATGTGTCATGTGTCTTGTTCTTTGTTTGTATGTGTCAAGTGTCTTGTTCTTTGTTTGTATGTGTCATGTGTCTTGTTCTTTCTTTGTATGTGTCATGTGTCTTGTTCTTTGTTTGTATGTGTCAAGTGTCTTGTTCTTTGTTTGTATGTGTCACGATACAGTTTATTCTGGAGGTATGTCTTTCTTCTCTCCTCATTCAGTTAACTCCAGTTTTATTGGGTGGTTGGCAGGCGCTCTGGTGTAGTTTGCTCCTTCTTTCCAGTCAATGAGCTATCTTCCTTATCGGTTTATCTCTTCTCCTTTTTTACCTCTGTATGTTACTCTCTAGTAACCCCCGTAATCTTCAGCACTCACATGACCTATTTATGTTGTAAGTGCCTCAGAATTTTTTTGCTACTGTGGACACTGTCTAAGACAGCCATCCATTGTCTGGAGGAGAAAAGTGGTTGTCTCAGACAGGTGTCTTGTCTTACACAGTGTCAATGTTTAAAAAACACAAAAGGGGAGTGGCGTCGGTGGCATAGTGGTTAATTTGTAATCGCGAGATTACGGGTTCGGGGGTTCGAGCCTCAGCTTGGGTCCGGCGTTGTGTCCCTGGGAAAGGCACTGAACACAAATTTCCCATTTGGCTCGGTCCTTTCGGAGATGGACGTTGAACTCGGAGGTCCTGTCTCTTTAATAACCTAATAGTATTGATAGAGGCGTTAAACCTATGTCATTTCACCATTTTCCCTGTGTAAGATCTCCTTTAAATCTCATATGAAAGTGTTACATCCCTAAGCTCTCGGTTGGAGGTTGCCACTGGTATGTCCTCCTTCTTAATCTTTACTTTCCCTCTGTTGTTTCTGTCTGGGTGGATGGGTGGAGGGTGCCACTAGTATGTCCTACTTCTTTACTTTCCCTCTATTGTTTCTGTCTGTGTGGGTGGTTGGAGGGCGCCACTGGTATATCCTACTTCTTTACTTTCCCTCTGTTGTCTTCGTCTGTGTGGGTGGTTGGAGGGCGCCACTGGTATGTCCTACTTCTTTACTTTCTTTCGGTTGTTTCTGTCTGTGTGGGTGGTTGGAGGGTGTCACTGGTAGGTCCTACTTCTTTACTTCCTTTCTGTTGTTTCTGTCTGTGTGGGTGGCTGGAGGGTATCACTGGTATGTTCTACTTCTTTACTTTCCCTCTGTTGTTTCTGTCTGTGTGGATGGTTGGAGGGCGCCACTGGTATGTCCTACTTCTTTACTTTTCCTCTGCTGTTTTTTTCTGTCTGCCTGTCTTACTTTTTCCCAGCACTAAATGACCATTATTGTGTCGATGTGCTTCTCTTTACTCAAAGAAAAAGAAATGAACTCTCGTACAGTCCTCCTC